GAACAAGCCGCGCAGGGCAGGAGCCGGCGCGGAGCCGCCGCTTCTCCCCAGCATGCCAGGGACGGCGCCCGGTTAGTACGGGGCGCGGGGGCTGCCCTGTCACAGGTGGGCAAACCCCAAAGTGCTGTCTATGGAGTGCCATGAGTTGCACCTTTAAGGACGCAATGGCTAGAGCCCTCTGTTTCAGGTAAAGCACCTACTCGAGGATCTGATGAAGAGGTGCTGCATACGGGTCGATCTGATTAGCAGAGCACCATGAGGCGAGCCTTTGCTGTTTAGAGAGGTAAGTAGCTTGATTCACCCTTCTACTGTGAATCAAGATGTCTTTAACCTGAACCAAGCAGAAATCTTTGGATGCACGCAACCAGCTAGGAACCATGCGGTTAGGTGCAGGGGCTGGGGCTGTAGGAGGAAGCCTTGGTTCTGGGTCAGAGTGATGTGGCACCGGGCTCCAAGCAAGTGGAGTCCACGGTGCCCTGCACTTCTTGGCCTCCGGAGGAGGCGCTCAGTGGCGAGTGTGCCACCGGGAGTCTGGAGGAGGGGACACCTGTGCGGCACCCTGGTGATCTTGCCCGGCCTGTTCCGGGGTCATCAGGGGCCGGGCGGAGGCTGGCCCGGGCCCGCACGGGGAGGGGCCTAATGTGGCCGCATCTGGCGGCCATTTAAAATGGCACCCGAGCCCCCACCAACGGGGGGTGCCTAGAGAGGACGGGCAGAGAGCTGGGGGAGAGTACGGAGAGTACTGGAGGAAAGCCGGGGGAGAGATGGAGGAGAGCACTGGCAGAGAGAGCCACGGAGGACCCGAGACAGATCAGGCCGAGCCGACGACCATCATGGGAAGGAGGAAGTGGCACAGGACGGAGATGGGAGAAGGTGCAACTCCCTCCCCGAGGGTTGGTGAGTTACGGGGAGCACCCCACCAACCAGACAGTGATCCACGTCGCTGCCTTTAGGGTCCTGGGCCGGGACCTGGAGTGTTGGCAGGCCTGAGTCCCCCTCCTTCTCTGCAGAGCAGTAGGCCAAGAGAGCCCCACTGAACGGGGGCCGATCGAAAAGTACCATGGGAAAATAGCAAGTCAAGAGGAGTGGGAAAGGGGGGAGCATTGGATTTAGGGGAAAAGGTTAAGGGTCATTGACAGGCCACCCCTGATGATGACAGGGATGTAAGCCTGAGGGGGGAGTCCCAGCATAACAGTCAGAAAGTCTTGGGAAGGACATGTGGGGGACACAGAGACATTCGGTGGTGAAAAGGGAACCAAGGCTGGTGGGACCAGGCAAGCGCTAGGAGGATCAGCCTGGCTCTGTGTTGATTTTCTCGCGTACTCTGGGTCTAAGTACAATGAGGGGAAATTCATACAGAAGGAGGCTCCCCCAGTTGAGAAGAAAGGCATCCCTGAGTAATCCCCAACCAATGCCAGCTCTGGAACAACAATATTGGCATTTTGTATTTTTGTAGGTGATGAAGAGGTCTACCAGGGTGTGTCTAGACTACAGAGTTTTGTCGACAAAAGTGGACTTTTGTCGACAAAACTATACCTGCGTCTACACTACCGCTGAGTTCTGTCGACATAACATCGACAGAACTCAGCAGTTTTGTCGACGCTGGTAAACCTCATTTTACGAGGCATAACGCAGTGGAACGAGGAGTACAGATAGTTCGGAATGGCTACGTAGTTCGAACTATCTAGCCCGTGCCGCGTGTAGCCGCGCGGCACGGGGTTCGCACTCGCCGGCTTTTAAAAATGGCGGAGCCGGCTTTATGCTAATGAAGCCCAGGAAATTCAAATCCCGGGCTTCCTTAGCAAGTTCGGTATGCATACATTACCCCCCTAGTTCGAACTAGGGGGGTAGTGTAGACATACCCGGGGTGTGTTTCCTTTAGGTTAAAGAAGTGAGGGTATGTCTACACTACAGCACTAGTTCGAACTAACTTAGTTCGAATTAGTTAATTCGAACTAAGCTAATTCGAACTAACGCATCTAGAACTAAAAACTAGTTCGAATTAGCACTAGTAAGAGAAAGTTGTTCTTGACAAAGCAAATAGTTAACCTGTGGAACTCCTTGCTGCAGGAGGCTGTGAAGGCTACAACTAGAACAGAGTTTAAAGAGAAGTGAGATAAAGTCATGGAGGTTGGGTCCATGGAGTAGTCTTAGCCAGGGGGTAGGAGTGGTGTCCGTGCCCAAGGTTTGTGGAAGGCTGGAGAGGGATGGCACGAGACAAATGGCTTGGTCACTGTCTTCGGTCCATCCCCTCCAGCGTCCCTAGGGTTGGCCGCTGTCGGCAGACAGGATACTGGGCTAGATGGACCCTTGGTCTG